TTCCAGGCGTGGGGACCACGGGCAGCCACCGTGCCTCCTGCAGCAGCGGGACAGTGAGCACAATCGACCCCGACCTGATGTTCCAACTAATTCCTTGTTGTCACAGCAACACTTCGCAGGACACAGTCCCACTGGCCCGTGGGGGATCATCCCATTGGAATAGTGTTCTGCCCCGTGTGGAGAGCAGCCTACCTTCCTTTAGCTGTTAAAATGCTCACCTGCCTGAATACCTCGTGGGAGGCTGTTCCCATTGATGGGTTTTCTGCACTGTTGCACAACGTACAGCCCTTTAACTCTGCAAGGTTGCGATTTTCATACTGCACACAGGAGGAGTGCATTGCTTGAGAATATTTACAACAGAAATTAACCTTTGCAAACCCTGGGAGTTAGGTCAACATGACCCCTACGTCAGACTGGGAAGTGGAGGCAGAAAGTCACTGACTTGCCCAAAGCCATGGTCTGTGGCAGATTCCAGACCTAACTCTTGGCCATGTGCTTTAGCCACTAGCCCACGTGTCCAACAGCTGACATCAAGTGACTGGCTTAAATACACAGGACATTCCGCCCCCACAGACTCTCCTTTGTCTCCTCTTATCTGCAGAAACAAACGCTCCAGGCCACTCTGAAGAGGATCTAGGAAGCTTGGAGCTGCCAAAGGTTTAACATCTTTAACTGGAAACTGAACCCAGCCCTGGGAAGGAAGTGCAGGCTCGGTGAAATGTGAGGGGGTTTCATGTTCACAATGGTTCAACACGTAGCTTTGCTGGCATTAGTTTCAGGGCCCAGCTGCACAGCAAAATAGTGGTGAGCCTGGCTGAGCACCAGGTTATGGGACCTCAAGAAAAGTCCATGGACTTCACAAGATTGAACCCGAACTGTTCCCAATGACCTGTGAGGAATGGCCTCTGCTTTACCAGGTCTTCCTACCCACAACAACGCTTTGCTTTGCATAGCGCCTGGTACCCAAGGATCTCAAAGCACTTCAGTATAAACAAGTTACTTTTCCTAGCAAAAAGGAGGGTTCTCAACTCCATTACTAGATGGACAGAGTGGTCGATTTGCCACAGCCACGTGACTCACTGACAGGGCTGTGCACAGACCCCAGGTCTCTGCTTTAACCATCTTTCATCCCCATTAAGATTATGGCATTGCCACCCCTTTCCTGCCAGTCTAGTTACCCAAGGGATGCATGCACAATGGTGCACAGATACCCAAGCATCAGGAGCTAGAAAGCTCTGCAAGCCTAGGATCAAGTGTGAAATTGGCACTTGGAGTATGAACTCCCACCTAGAAAGGAGGCGTTTTATTGCACGTGGAGGGCAGTAAGACAACTGCATACGCATAGCGCCTTTAAATAAAGAGGAAGAGCATCAGGTGAGGTTTTGACTAAAGGGGAAATGAATTATTGAGGGAAGGAGAGAGGACAGACACTCAGATGGGAAATTCTGGAGCCCTGTGTGCATGCAAAGCTGCTGACTGAAGCACCATCCTAGTGCTGCTAGGAATGAGATCAGGCTTGCACTGACACTGCTGAGAATCAGAACAAACCCTGGTCACAACCCGTCCACAACAGGCATGGGAAGCCTGTGAGGAGGTTACAGCCCTGTCTACAACAGGCAAACACTACTACAGCACATGCCCCTGCAGGGTCGGTAGGGGCCACACCTCCAGAGGAGAGGAGGGTTACTGGAGCTGTGGCCTGCCGGGCAGAGATGAAAGCCGTCTCTGAAACATTACATTCGGTCAGGATGGTTTTAGGTAGAAGTTACATTTTCAAAACTGGATTGGCACAAATCCCTCCCTGGACAGGTCTCTCCCAGAGCTCCGGCTGCCATTGGATTCCATTATTGATCTGGCTTCTAGGCTCACAGTAGTAAGTGGAGAAAGGAGAACTGAAAACACACGAGCCACTACCAAAGTGCTGTAATCTCTGCAGTGCTGACCTTCTCCCATGCCTGCCAATGAAAACTAATCTCTTCACAGCTACACCTTAAGCAGAGTGCTAGACTGCACTGCTACCACACCTGTAAAAATGAGTTCTACCCAAATAAGGTCAAGACATCAGGGGCCCTCCATCTCTGCATACCTTTGGCTAAGACTATAACAGAGTTTAAAAGAGAACTGGATAAATTCATGGTGGTTAAGTCCATTAATGGCTATTAGCCAGGAGGGGTAAGGAATGGTGTCCCTAGCCTCTGTCAGAGGATGGAGATGGATGGCAGGAGAGAGATCACTTGATCATTGCCTGTTAGGTTCACTCCCTCTGGGGCACCGGGCATTGGCCACTGTCGGCCGACAGGATACTGGGCTAGATGGACCTTCGGTCTGACCTGGTACGGCCTCTCTTATGTTCTTATACCTGTTCTGCCAGCCAAGCGATGTGTTTGACCTCCTTGCTACTTCCTGTGGCATTGTTGGCACCTAGCATGGCATTGAGTTCAGCCAGCACCTGAGGGAGGAGGGCCATGATGTTGGTGTGGATGGCTGTGAACCAGGAGTGTGCTGTCGCTGTGTCTTTGCACCGCAGGATCAGGGTGTTTCTGCTGTCCGGAGAGTGCAGCTCTATCAACCTGAATAGGGAGAGAGAGAGCTAGGCTGAGAAGTGCAGCCGGGCTAAGGCAGAGGGGGAACGCGGAAGCCCTGCAGCAGACACACCCTACACATCAATGGGGTTTGGTTCCCCAAGAAAAGTACATATGAAACGCTCAAATGAACCCTTAGCCCTTTGGTGTCTGCTAGGGAGAGCCCCTGGCTGGGGTCATCTACGAGCAGCCCAGGCAGCGCTCACCACAGGGCTGGAGGGTAGGGCAAAGTTGGCTCTGTGGCAGGATGGAATTCCAGTGCTGCGTGGCAGAACGCTGTCTGGAAACTCATCTGTCCAGGTGCTTATGAGACCCGCAGCCCCGGAGGCGGTGACGATCCCTGCTCTGCTAGGGCAGGGGGATGCCTCGTGAATCATCCTCTCCCTCAGCTGGCTGAGAAGCTGTGCCACTGATTAAAAGATTACAGAGCTTTCTAATCTTAGCTGTCAGGCAGCCCTGCCAGGAGCTGATGCAACATCTGAGAGCTCAGGAAGTAAGCGAGCACTGGCCCAGCGCCTGCCGGCACTCGGAGGGTTTTGGGGGCAGCCAGGGCACCCAGGGTCCTGCAGGAACCTTCCTGCGGCAGCTCAGCATCCCTCAGAGCAGCGGGGGTGCCCAACCCAGATCCCTGCCTGGCTTCTCACCCAATTGCTCCGGCCCAGGCTATTAGAGAGAGCGATACTAAAGGGCGAGCTGGCATCTCTCCCCTCCCTGGAATGCAGATGCAGCACACGCTTCTCACCTCCTCTGCCCTTCAGTCAGTAGCTACAGAACCCAGAACCGACTAGCCCTGCCAAACCGCTGCGGACACATCTGCTCCTTATGATGCTCTTTTGATGCCTAACTCAGGACGTGATGGGAGCGCTCTGAAAGCCAACAATTCCCACCATCAGTTAAAGCCGACGGTCCTTTCTCCCCAGTTACCTTCTTGGATCTGGGCATGCGTGCATAGTACAGAGTGGCTATTAATTAGACTGCCGGCAAATCAGGAGCCCAGCCGGACTTAGGGGGCAATCACCTGTTGACAAGCAGCTACAGGGGTGAGATTGTAACCGCGAAACGTCTGAGATGGGCTGTTAAATGGAATGGAAGTTGCACAAATGCCACCCAAAGGCAAGCTGCCTATCAGCCTCTTAGCACAACAGAGAAGCAGGCGTGAAGCCACAGAACACGTAGAAACGAGTCCATGTGCTTAAAAGTACATTGGGGCTGGCTAGCTTTGAGACAGGAGCGTGTGCACCGCTCCTCGCGGGAAGCCACCAGCGTGCAAAGTCAGTGCAGAATCCTGCTGCAGAACTCCGGAGAGGCAGCAGATACAGCGTGACAAAAGCCTTTTGCAGCGGCAGCTTATTTCCACCTGGATGAGCGGGGGTTGGGTAATTGGATTTGCATTCTCCAAACACAGGCTAAATGCAGTTCACTCTGATCCTGATGGGAACCCCAGGACAACTCTCTGCCCTTCCCACTTGCCTGTGCTGCAGGACCCTACACAGGGAATTGGTGCTGCCTTTGTCTAGGTCCAGAGCACAGCTCAGACCTCCGGTCACACAGCTCCACAGAGGCTCACCTCCTTGTCAAGTCCTGGGAGACAGGGAGACTTTGCGCTCGAGTCTGGCTGCAAAGTTCTACTTGCCAGGGTGCTGCTCGCCTGGGGCTAAAAATTGCAATCTAGATGGTTGGGCTCAGGCTGGAGGCCAGGCTCTGAGACCCTCCCCCCACATGGGGTCTCAGTGTCTACACTGCAGTTCTTAGTGCCACAGCCTGAGCCCCACGAGCCAGAGTCAATTGCCCCAGGGTCTGGGACTCTGTGCCACGGGTTCTTGATGGAAGTGTAGACGTACCCTTGGACTACACTCCTCATCCCACACAAGCTACAGGGGAGGCATTTCGAGCCCTCCAGGTCAGCAGTGTGCATGTCAGAGCTCACTTGGCTTCCCACAGCTATGCAGACTGGGTTGCTTGCTGGCTCTCCAAGGACAGACAAAGCCATCATCACGCTCTTGGCCACTGTTATTTACACTGACACTGCATTCTCTCCCAGCTACAGTAGCCCACGCCCATTCTCGGCACTGGTGCCAGTGCCAAGGGGCCCTGGATAGCTCAGCCCCATGAAAACCTCCCAGCATTAGGACATGGTGCTGAAAACGCCTGTGCGGAGCCTGCACAAGCATCTATGCTGGCACGAACGCCAGCGGCGCTGGAAAGGGTGGTTCACCTTACACCAGCACATTAGCCTCGGGAGTGCGTATTGCGCCGTGGAAGCGGTCTCTCCCAGCTGAGAACAAATACTGTTCTGAGTTCAGGACATACGAGCAGTTAGCTCTTACTCGCCCATGTACATTTCTGGCAATTTAATTCCATGGGCATTCTAAAGAGACGCTGTTTTCCTGCCCCCCCCGTCATGTTAGTACTGAAGCCATCACGGCTCTTTCACATGTCCACCCACCAACGCACAACGTGCCAAGTTGTGCAGCTTAAAGCAAAGGGGCAGAAGACTTGGCAGAGATGGCGTTACATTCCCCACCACCTAGTTAAGAGGAGTCTGCAAGGGAGATTCTGCCCTGTTCAGAAAGGGACACGCAGGCCGGAAACCTTAGTCGTTTCCATCGTGGACCAACTCTGTGCCAGGACAGAGATGCTGGTGGGGCAAAGGTATCAAGTCAAACTATTCCTGGCCAAGATCTTCTCATGGGAGCATTGAGGGAGAGTCCTGCAAAAGGAAGCCTGCATGCTGCAAAAACCCTGTAGCTTGGCCATGACTGTTCCCAAGAGCTGAGTGGGAGGCAGCCTCCCAGCAGGGATGTGTGGGCAGCATGGGACGGTGAAGGGACACCACCTTGGAAACTGGTCCTGCAATAACTGTCAGACCTGCTTGGCCCAGGAGATCAGGTAATCGGCCCTACACAACTGGGGCAGCACAACCCCCTGAAGATTAAGTACTTTCTAGCTATAGCAACTTCCCCATCAGTGAGAGCTTGACAGCATTTCCCTGGTCCCTAACACCCAGGGGAGGGCTTTGCATAGGTAATGACAGATACAGGGAAAACAAGGGGAAGTGATTAGTGTCATTTCCTCCCTCTAATGACAAACCCAACTCTCAGAGCTCAGCAATGCAACCCCACTCTGCATGGCAGGGCCCAGCCACCTCCTGGGCAAATGGGGAATAGTTCAAATGCTCAGCAACAGACAGAGGAGAAGCAAGTTTCCTGCCGCAGAGTGCAGTTTGGGACATCACTGCTTACCCAGTACTGCCAACCAATGCTGCTCATTTGCCCCGCCTCCATGCCAGAGCCTGCTCACACAGGCCATGCCAATCTGGCTCCAGAGGCCTCATCTGTTTTTACAGAATTTAACCTTTCCTTTTAACGAAGCCCAGGTGGGTAGAGGAAATCCTTCCAGATGCACCCAACAGAATCTGCAGGGGTGAACTACAGGTCCAAGGGCCAGTTCAACTGGTTAACTCTGAACCCTGATAAGTACTGGACAGATACACAGTTGTCAACTCTCTTTTCAACAGGGAAGTGCAGCTGCTCTGGGACCATGGACTAGGTGTGACATTCCAACTCTGCCCCCGGCTGGACATAGGATACAGCCACTTGGCAGGTACAAAGAAGAGGTGGCAAGGGCAGAGAATGAAAATAAGCACAGCCAAGATTCCCCCTCGCCCCCTCCCCCCCGACACACACGCACCCAACAGGATCACTAATAGCCTCTAACTGCCCCCAACCACCACTCACTGGCAGGACTACACGCAATACCGCCCCCACCTGGCAGGTGTGTGAGAGGGCAGACGGGCGCTACCAGAGCAGGGGAAGGCCTGGATGAGATTCAGCCCAAATCCATCTGAACTCTGTTTTAGAAGAAAGTTAAACTGCCAGAAAGGCAATTTAGATGTGGGGGTTTGGATCCTTCCCTGAGCTGGAGCCTTCTACCCCAGGAGGACAGCAAAATGCAAACACTGCCTGTCCCACGCGGCAGTCAGCCAGCTGGGGGGAGGAGGGGCGCTGAGTGGAGAGACCTGGTTGGTAGCCAAACCACTGAGAATTTCCTGCAAGCTGCAGTTACGATTTGATGAGTGAATCAGGAGATTGGCCTGAGGCGCAGCTGTTCCCACCCTAAGTCTCCTTTAGTCCATCTTCTGCTGCTTAGCTGAAGCTCGAGCATCATCTCCAGAGCCAATCCCGGGGACACGGACCAGCAGAGGAACTGCCATTTCCGCTGGAATGTGCGTGTGGCGCAAGGCCAGGTATCTTCTCCATGGAAAGAGTTCAACACGCAGATTAGCCAAACATCCTGTGGACACCCAGCCAGCCAGCACCTCCCAAAAGGCACCAGGAGAGGACACTTTGTCTTCAACCAGACGCTAAACACGCAGGCGTTACACGTAACCTGGCTGCAAGCAGAGACACAGCTGAACTAGATGGATCACAACCCCGCTTCTCCAGACGCATCTCTGCTGTGACTGCGAACAGATGCTGCAGATCCCACTGCTGCTCATCTGCAAAGATGGCCCCTGTGGCCATGGACCTTGCTGCTCCCCTCACCTTCCCACCCCATGCATGTCAGCCGCTGGGTCATTCAGCTCCACAGGCCTCCCTGTGGGTGTACAGCACCTGGCACAACAGAGCCCTAACTGTGTTCGGGACCCAGGGTGCAAGTTAATACAGCCAAAGGAGGAGCCTTGCACTTGTATATCACCTTTGACTCAATCCACTTGGGTCACGTGCACTAGTTAAGGCTCCCAACTCCCACTTTGTGGCAGATAAGGAATAACCACACCCACCTATGAAACAGCTACTTCTGGGGTGGAACGCAGGCTCCTCACTGAACGCTTTGGGGCAGGAAGTCAACACTGCCAGATCCTCCTGAAACTGCCGGGGGGGGGGACTTATGTGAAATAATGACCCCTTTATAGCGCCTTCCAGCTGAAGAGCTCAGCTCTCCAAAACCGGGCTGGTTAACCCTCACATCACCCTGCAGGCGTAGGAGGGTAAGAATTGGCCCAGAGAAGTGACGTGACTGTGCCAGGTCAGAGGAGTCTGAGCTGCAGGCAGCGTTAGAATGCAGGTCTCCGGACTCCTAGCTCTATCCTCTTCCCAGGCAAGATCAGCACCCCTTGAGGGGAAGTTACCTGGCCCAGAACGAACCAGCGGCAGGGTTACCACCTTGAATGTCGGGAAGTACAAACCGTCAGGCCACCAGCTCCACAGCTCACTCAAGGCAGCATCAGCCTCTCTTGTAGAAAGCCCCATTGCTGCTGCCACAAGGTCAGCTGCAAAGGCATTCACACTGCTGGGGGACCCAGTGCAGACCCGACTCCCACCTGTTCATCACAGTGATAAGCAGAACAGCTCCCCCCACCTGCCCGAAGGAACAAACCCATGCCATTGGATCTCTCGCACCTAAGGGGGCCTACAAGGGAAGAGAAACATCTGTGCCCTTTCCTGACATACAGCCAAAGTCTGGTGTGTTTTTCCTGGTTGGTTTTGCATCAGGAATGCAGGTGTCTCATATCTGCCTTTGTTTGCTGGAGGATTCAAAACAAATAGATCTAGCAGGACTTTGACATCACAAGGGCTTGCAAGTGGAGGGGGAGGGATTCAAACCCTGTTTGTCTTTGTAAGCACCCATTTAACTCCAGCTCCTATGGGCACCTGGGAGAAGAGAGTCTCAAAGACTCAGACACTCCTACCCCCATAACTAGGGCCTGGGACACTCCTGCAGTTCTCTGGCCTCCCAAGAGCCCTCCAGGAAAACAGACACACGAGGCTCCACATTCCTGACATCCAGATAGAAGCCAAGCAGAGAAAGCACCTTTTTAAAAGTCTTCCAGACTCCTTTACACATTGCAAAGCAGCCAAAAAGGGATCATTTCTCACCTTGCATGTCCCGCCAGCCTGTGTCAACACTCCTCCCTGCACCCAAAATGCCAGGCAGATAGGCCCAGAGCAGCCTGCCACACGCCAAGGCCTCTGTCTCCCTAGGCTCCAGCTCACCTGTTCTCCAGGTCCGGCATGCTCAAGTTCCTGGCGGCGAAGCACATTTTCAGAGGGATCACCTTCCTGTCTTTGGTGCCATTGTAGTGCTTCGGGGAGCCGGAGTCCTCGCTGCCACTCAGGCTCGGTGACTGGGGAGCTGCCCCATCCCACGGGAGGTCTGACACCAGCGACGGCTTCTTAATGTAGGGAGTCACTTCCCGCATGAACTTCACTAAGAACAGAGGTGGGAGAGGAGAGTGTTAGCACCTGGGCTGCCTCAGGAGGGGTACACAAAACACTGCATGCACCTGCCCAGAAAGGTAAGGCAGCACCTGCAGATCTGTGCAGCCCAGGGCAGTGTGCCGACTCCCCCACCAGCAGGGAGCAGTGGTCTGCACTCACTGTGAGGACAGTGCCTGCCAGTGGGGGGGAAGGGGGAGACACACACTAAACAGGCCTCAGAGCATGGTCTCCTGCAAGGACCAGAAGTCGGCTGCTAGGGATCTAGCTTAGACTTAGAAGAGTTAGTTGCTCCCACCTTCCAGAGAGGACAGGTGAGTGAACCTGCCCAGCTAGCCACCATACGGATGTGTGCAAGCTTTTGCCCCTCTCCTCTGCAGGTCGGAGGGGGGGGCACTTGCCTGAACGGTCCTAGGAGGATGTAGTTTCACACCCCCATTTGTCGACAAGCTCTCAGCTGTCTGGCAACAGGATGGGAAATGGTAAACACATTTATACACTATTTCCACAGGGGGAGGGTTCCTCAGGACTGTGGGTGACAGGAAGCTGGTCTCTAGGCACGCTGTGAGGACAGGAAAGGACTTGCTTGTCTTAGATGGAATCAGACTGCTGCTGCCTCTGCAAATACAGTCCTAGTGCTCTGCTCTCCCCACTCATGGCCTCAGGGGGAGCGGGGTGGGTCTCAGGGCTATGTCAGCAATGGTCTCTGGATAGTGAAGCCAGAGGGTTACCAGACACAGAAGGTGTTTTATGGACACTTCCAACTCCTCCTTCCCTTGGTCATTCTGCCTGCACACGTTTGCCAGAGATGAGGGATGGCCTACTGGTTCAGTTCCATGCTCTGCCACAGACTCCCTGTGAGACCTTGGGCGCGTCACTTAGCCTAAGCTCCCCAGCGGTACAGTGGGGATAACTGCCCTGCCCCACAGGGTGCATGAGGAGAGAGACAGGAAAGACTGAGATACTCAGATACTACGGTGATGGGGACTGTGTCAGTACCCTAGAGACAGATCAGGACACTTCTAGAATAGATCCTCCAGCAGGCACATGCTACAGCCTGGATGCTTAGTGACATCACCATCAGCTACAGCACTGATCAACGAGGTGGTACTGCCATTATCTGACCTCGCCAGCTGGAATACTAGTTCAGAGTGAAGCTAGCCACCAGCCAGCTCCTAGACAAGTGATCCAGGAACACACACACGGGCTCTGAGATGTGGGTTCTAACCCTGACTTGCTGTGACCCCTCAGGTAAGTCACTTACCCTCTGAGCTCCAGTCTTCCATATGTAAAATGGAAGCAGTTCCTTAAGTGCTACAGTGCAAAGAATTACAGCCTGACTGAGACAGGCTAGAACTTGGGAGTTTGCTAGAGGAGTGAGGGTTGGGGTCACTGGCTCTCCATACAATCCAGATGGGAGCTTCCCGAGTGGCACCCAAAGGAGGAACTCTTCATGGCTCTCAGAGTGGGAGAGGCTCCTAAACACTTGTGCATGGGTGGAGAAGCTGCCATCTGGCTGCCGCAGGGTTCCCCAAGCTCTGTAAGAGGAGCTGTGCACTCACGAACCCCACACATGCCTAAAGGAAGAAACTTTAGCTGCTTTAAGGTGCAAAGCTTCCCCTGAAGGCACCTATTCTAATCTATGAAAGTTCTAACACTTAACGCCACCTGCACCAGTCCTCATCCAGACCAATAGATTAGCGTGTCATACACTTACAGCTTGTATAGGGAGAGTGCACTGCTCACATGAGGTGCTCCTGGCAGCCCCCCCACAATCTTCCCAGATGCCACCCTCACATCTCCCTCTATTGTAGGGACTTATGCATTCTCCCACTGCCAGGAGTTGTGCACTCCCCATTCTCCCACCCCCAAACCAGAATCCCCCCATTCTGTACCCTGTGGTTGTTATCTGTCTGGGTGTCCATAAGTTAGTTTCTCTTGGGAGGACAAGAAGGGCTCTCCTTACGCTTGAAGGCCATCATCCAGCTGTTTGATCCATAGACAATTGCAGAGGTGCTTGAAGCTAAACAAAGGCCAGGGGCTCCATATACTCCCCATTTCCCCCCTTTCAGCTTTCTGATTTTCCCTGCAATCAATAGGGTTCTGGCCATGGCTGGCTGGAACATTCCCTGCAATTTTGGAATTGATTAGCTGAAGCGTTCAAAAGTTACCACCCCGCAGACCGACAGAGCCAGAGTGAATGGCCTCACAAGCCCAGCCAACCAGAACAAGTTTGAGTTTCCCCTCAGAGTTCTGAGTAGGAAACTTCTCAAGAAATTAATCAGCTCGGTTTTGGACCCCTCATGTCACCCAACCCTCTTTTCCAATTTGCCTCACAGTATTCCTAGGAGAACTAGGCTGGTGGCAGAACCCATCCGAAGTTTCACAGGTGGATAGGTTTATTTTGGGTAAAAATTTGACAGAGGGATCAAAAACCTGCTTTATAACTGGAAGCTGCCTCGGCCTTTAATTCTCAGCCTCTCATCTCAGCACGCAACAGTACAAGCTACATATTGATTGGGGGGAGGGATAGCTCAGTGGTTTGAGCATTGGCCTGCTAAACCCAGGGTTGTAAATTCAATCCTTGAGGGGGCCACTTAGGGATCTGGGGCAAAATCAGTACTAGGTCCTGCTAGTGAAGGCAGGGGGCTGGACTCGATGACCTTTCAAGGTCCCTTCCAGTTCTAGGAGATGGGATATCTCCATTAATTTAAATTTTATTTAAATTTAATTTATATTAAACATCCTCCAGACATCAGGATTTGGCTGGGAAGAAGGAGAAACAGCAGCAGCGTCAAAGAGGATCTTTCTTCCCCAGGTGATCAGGAGTGGAGCAGTCATGCACAGTGCTCCCTTTGGGAAAGCCGGTTCTCTCCCTGAGCAGCTGACCCAAGCATTTAAGTGTATGGCCCTCCATTCCCCTTTTGCTTTTAAGGGAAGAGCAGAGCCCATGGGCTTTAGCAGTCTCAGCCCTGAGTTTTCACTCACTGCCTGCACGACTGTGCCATCTCCTCAGGAATGAAAGGGGAAACAGGAGCTCAGAATATTATCCAGCTGGAAAGGAAGGAAGTGCAGCAAACTGCAGCCTGATGCAGGACAGACACGGATGGCTGCAGCTGCCTGTCTCCCCCAAATGTAACGGGCCAGCTACCGGGGGGCCGGGGATTCAGTTGAGGAATTCCAAGGTGTTTAGAGTTGTCCTAGCAAAGGAACCAAAAAGGCACATTTCTGTAATAAACTGAGCCATCTGCTTGAAGTATAGCCCAACCACTGCCCCGGAGACCACAGCAGCATGGGAGAAAAATGTCCCTTTCAAATGGCCTCATGCAAGACGAGCCACTATTAAAAGGGAGCCTGAGGAGGGAAGGGTCAAACCAGGAAGCTCAGTCTAGATGGCCTCTTTTCTAGGTCTCGTTGTGAACCTGCCCTGGGACCCATGGGCGACTGAGAAACTTTGATCACTCCCAGGAACGGCAGCTCCCAGACAGCTTCAGTGACACATGCTTAAAGGAATAGCAGCAAGCTCACAGGTGACCCAGCAGGCAGGGTGCCCACCCCAGAACTGGGCTGCTCTGGGAATCTGGGAGAGAATGGTCTGTCTGCATGCCAGTTGCACAAAGAAATGGAAGCAGGCCTGTCAGCCCCCTGGAAAATGTGACCAGGGCTTTGCATAGGGAAGTGTTAAGAGCAAGCTGTTCCCTTCCCTTCCGATAACCAAGCCGTGGGGAGGGGGGAGCTGGGGCACGGGAAGTAGATAGCTGCAGAAAGTTTGGAGAAATATCTGAACCTCTGGGTGTGCTTCCCAAAGCAAATGCAGGCTCTGCAGCTGTGGGGCTGCCAACGACTACACTAGCATTCGCCTTCTACTGCGTAGGGTAGTCTCTGAAATTGGGTTCAGAATAGGATACAGCAGTTTAGATTTTTAAAACCACAGGAAATTCATGGTTCAGGCCAATATGGTCCCCGACCCACTCTGCTGAGGAGAACAGAGTCCAGACAGCTGAGTTATAGTTCAGAAAAATCGGAGTGACCTGGGAAACGCAGCTCTTTGGTATTCAATTGCTTTGTTTATTTCAGGGAGGAGCGTGTCAGAGGCTGGAAGGGGTACTGAATTCTGGGGTTTATTGGAATTTTTAATCATTTAATTGTTTCTCGGTCTCAGCAGCTTCCTGGACCCAGAGAAGCTGCGTGAAGCCACATTTAGTGCACACACCAATTCCTGATACACAACATTCCGGGAAGTTACTGCATACATCAGCTGTCTGCTTATTTGTGAAGAGGGCTCCAGCTTCGGTGACACAGGGACGGCTGCTGAGACACTCTCCAGAATGTGAGGACTTTTTAGTCACTACTTTTTGTGCTTCTAAATAGACTTTTGTACATCACTGCTCCAGGTGCTGTTCCGGTAAGGACCAAACCCTCTGGCCACATTCTAACCAGAAGTGAATTTCTGTGGCATAGAGATTTAGAATGGGACTAGCCTCATGAACGGCTCAGGGCTCGCCTATGTAGGGTGGCCAGGTGCCTGGTTTTCAACTGGAAAGTCCAGTCAAAAAGGGGACCTGACAGTGTCCGGTCAGATCTATTGACCGAACACCCAAAGTCCAGTTACTGCGGGATGGGGAGGTGCTGTGTCATCACCTGCATCAGCCCCTACAAAGCTAGGGCTCCCCAGCTCTGCAGGCGAGTCCCTCCTGACCCAGGCAGGGAAGTGGGAGGGGAAAAGCAGCAAGCGATGGGGGAGGGGGAGCTGAAGGAGGAAGAGTGGACTTGGAGGGGTGGGGGTGGGGGGGAAGAGATGGAGCCCCAGGGAAAGATGTGGGGCAAGGAAGGTTTCAGTACTCTGATGGAGTGTCCAGTTTTTAAATATTACCAAGTTAGCAAACCTATGTCTATGTCAACACTTAGTTTGTGGCAAGCCAGGGTATAAATGTACCCACGCTACCCTGCCACACACTAAAAGTTCCCAGTGCGCTTTGATGTGCCTGCTTTGAAACAGGGTCAAAGTGCACTAGGGAACTTCGAGTGCATTGCAGCAGGGCCCAGAGGGCCAGTTAGTGCTTGGCAGGCTAGCACAAGTTTGCTTTACACCCCAGCCTTCCGCAAACTAAGTGTCCATATAGACGTACCCACAGTCTAAGAGAGGTAGCAGATTGTACTGGGCTACATAGACTAATGCAAGGATTGCTCTGGATTTAGCCACCATACAAGGCAGACTGTTCCATAAAACACAGTGCACTATATAATCAGCTACTCCGCAGGCACAACTGAGACTGTCCCCTCTACTGCCTCCCCTCCAGATCAGCTAACTCACGGGAAAGAGCAGCACAGACCCACCTTCCCCTCAACTTCAGCACTGCGTTTCCCTGTGACTAGGCTCTATGAAGCGGGAAGGCTCTCTCTGCCCTGGCCTTCTCTGCACTAAGCCACCATCCTGGCTGGGCTGGGCTGAGCGCTAATCATCTAGACATGATGGTTATTTATTACAGCCACAAAGCTTTCGTCAGCTGGTTCCCAGAAACCACTAATTTCCTTCTACAACACAATTAGCACTCCATCAATCCTGCCTTCATGCTCTTCGATCCTTCAGGAGCAGGTCAGCAATTCCCAACTAGCATCCAAACCAAACTCTATACATGCAGCTTCTAGAAGACACCCCAAACTGGTCTGCATGGGAGTGGGCCTTGGGGCACAATTCCAGTCCCTTCCCAAGCTGTCTGTACCCATTTACATTGCCCTGCTCCTGTTCTCTGGCCATCCCTCCCTTCTCAGCATCAGACTTCAGGCTCAAGCCTGAACAAACCAGTTTCAGGCAGGAGGAGTCTAAACCTGCTCCTTGAGGATGGCCAGCTAACTCCCCCCCATGCTGGCTACAAAGAGCTAAGCCTTGCGCTTCAGGCTGGGATGTGGTCTAATTAAACAGAGGAGCTGACCGAGAGAAGCCCCTGGCACCTGCCCAGAGCACACCAAGATGTAGAATTTGGCTGGATGATCAAAGACTCGACAAAAAACCTTCAAAATCTCAACAGCTTCATTAAGCAGGAAACCTGAACCAAATCCCCACAGGTGTGGGAACCTGTGCCACAAGGGCTCAGATAGCTCTGCCAAACCAGCGCATGACTGCAGGGGACACGCTTTGCATGGAATGAGTCGATTATCCTTTATCCCTGGTCAGAAAGAGGGACTTGCCAAAGCTATTAAAAAGCGGAACAGTGTGCAGTATTGTCAGGGAAAAACAGAACGTCCAGTTACCACACCGATTAGGGAATTCTTCCACATTGCTAACTGTCGCCTAGCCAGTCCAGCTCTTCTCTACAATGCATTCTGCACCATGTTCTAGGAGTGGAAGGTTCTTTCCCTTGCACGTGCTCCCTCTAGAAGAATATTCACGACTGCCCTAGATTAATCTCATTACAGATTACAAGACAAGGAGGAAGGGCGAGCTGGCTCCAGTGGTGCCGAGAAGAATGGTTATAACGTGCTCCCCACAAAGACTCAGATGTGTGGAGTGGGACTTCATTCTTGGGCAATTTGAAACTTCAAAACAGCCTGCGGCAGAATCTCCATAGCAGGCAAAGCCCACTTGCTCCCTCCGCTCCCAGTCAGACAACTGCACTCAAAGAGCAAGAGGCTATGGCTGGTTGATTGACGTCTGCTCTTTTAGCCCTACTGGAGTGAAATAACAGAATTGTTCAAAGAGGGAAGGGGAGCAACCAGTCCCTCCTGGGTCAGACTATTACCACTACTTAGGGCAGTGAAGAATTTTCAGACCCGGAGAAACTCCTCTGCATTCAAAACAGGGGCTCTTCATATGAAGTTCAAATGCACAATACCTCCACCTATGAGTCGTGTCCTTAGAAGGGTGGAGGGACCAGACAGCTCATCCCCAGTTCCTGGCAGCACAAGGAACGGAACTGAAGCAGGAAAGAGAATATAAACCAGCACAATGAACGTGACCAAGGGGTCAGCTGCCACCCCATCCTGGATCTCATCTGCAGCCATGACTGCGGAAGGACGACGCTATCCAAGTTTCCAAAGCTTTCGACGCTTCACCACCAGCTTAGGATCTGCTGTTCACAGCTGTCGGGATTCTGTCATCTTGGGGGATTTTCTAGCCAAGTTGGCACAGTTCCAAAGGCTTCTCCGGTGTCAGCAGTCGGAGGGAGAAAGGGGAGCCATTTGTACATTTCCCCCTAGCCAGATCACCTGCCCCCAGAAGACACAACTAAGGAGTACAGCTGAGAAGGAGCGCTTTCGCAGTAGGCTAACAGACTCACCACTAGCCTTGCCTACACTAAGGACATTTTGGAAAGATTCCTCAGTATTGCTGTCAGTCCGGAAGAACCAGCGCTAGCAAATCGGTTAGACTTTCTCCCAGCAGGCATGGATGACACAGGGTTGAAAAACGTACCGGCAGCAGGTGGGCTGTCTACATTAGGGCTGCCAATGTCGGTAACTCCAGGGAAGGGAGAAGCAGTGCACAGGAAAAAAAATTTCACAAGTTTCCTCTAGTACAGACAAGGCCAGTCCCCTGCCAAACACGTAAGGGGAAAAGCCCTATGAACAAGGGTGGATTAAAATAGATTTTTTTTTAAATGGGTGCATTTAAATTGGATTTTTCTTTGTAAAATAAACCTATTTAAAATTAAATATTACATTTGAAATTATGACAACCTAAGTTAAGGCCTCAACTTACTATCATCTTTTAAAATAATTTAAATTAAAAAAAATCAAGCAGTACATTTGCTATTGAAGTTTTAAAGGAAGTCAAGCCACCGAACAAGGGGAAGTTACTGGCTAAGCACCTGGGACCAGGGATTGAAAGCGCTAAGCCAGCTTTCTGATAGCAGTAGTCACTTCTCTAGGAGGTGGAGAGGGCAGGACAGTTCTTTTTCCTCTTCCAATCTATGAATGCAAATGAGGTTCAAGAGGATAAGATCTAGTTTAAAATTTTGAAGGACACGGTGACCAGAAACAAATCAGTTCAATTCACTATCGACAGATAATACTTCCTCCTCTGTTAGTTTTATGATACAAAACAGGTTTTGCATTTAAATATTCTTATCAACACAAGACGAAGTTGTGGTCAACACGGGTGGAGCTCTTCACTTTACAGCCTCATGCTGTTCCACTCAAAGCAGTAGCTTGGGTTATTGCAGTCTTGTGTGATGTCCTCCAAAGATCCTGCCCAAATCCTCCAGCAGAGACAGGGAAGGGATGACCCGAAACTTAGAGTGGAAGTAGTCAGAGATCTTTCTGAAGCTGGGAGAAGCAGTTTGGTGGGTTTTTTGCCACTTAGACCGCTGCAAGGCCTTTCAGGGATAACCCCCTAAGTGCCAACCATTTAACATTAAATAGGTTAATTACATCATAGGTGAAGGCTGCCTCTCATAGCAGAGGTACAGCGTGCATCCACCTAAGTAGGCACTGATCTGGTCTCCACAGGATGGACACACCAAGACCTGAATTAAGTTAGAAAATGTTTCCTGCATCTAAGTGCCCAAAATTAAGCACCCTACTAAAATGGTCCAATTTTCTATGCATGGCCCACTCCCACTGAAATGGGAGCTATCGGTGCGGAGTACTGATAAGTGACCCACTGTCAGCAGGGTGCCTACTACTGTGGCTTTAGGCACGCAGTGCAAGAGTTCTGGCCAGAGCTACTCAGGGCAGGGCTGTTTTGTCTTAGACCCCTCTCTGGTACTGGGCCAAACACATTTTTTTCTTTCTACAGCCCCGTCAGTTGCAACAAACTCCTGAAGTGGTTCCTGTTTAACAGCTGCATTGTGGAAGATTCATTGAGGACCTAATCCTGTGCTCACTGAAGTCAGCGGCAAAACTCCTATTGAGACTTCAATAGATGCAGGATCAGGTCCTAACAGGACAAGTTCACCTGTGTAGCTCTGCATATGCTCTCCCCAACCCTTCAGAGAGGTTCTCCCTGCATGAACCATTGACCTCGGGGGTTCTGGAAAGGCACAGATAGATGTTTCTGAGGTCAAGAACGCTCCTGATGCAAGTAGGCTTGGCAAAATTCAATTTTTTTTTTCCAATTGTTGACTGATAACATCAATGTTCATATTTAAGCATTTTTTATATTTATCCCCCACAGCAGTGGGAAATTAATGACAGTACTTGTTGAGATTCAAAAAATAAAGCCTCATAACTTAATACATTATCAACCTCACATGTCAAAATCCTCAAAGTAAATATCCTTAAATCAAACTTTAATATGTTTTCAAGCAGCATTTTTCTTACTTTGCCTATCTGTACATTTCAGTAATTGAGGAAATACTCTTTTTGTTGATTTGTGTATTTAGATTTTTAACAGTGAATGTCAATTGCATCATAATCCTCCCATTCCCCCCATAAAAGGCAAGGAAATAGTGAAAACATCTCAGCATTCACATTTTAAACATCCTAGCTCTCGAGCAGCTGGTGATAAGGCATGTTTTCAGGTAGAGAATCAGAGGAACCCAGATCCTGAAAACAGACAGTTGACAAGTATCAGGGGGTAGCCGTGTTAATCTGTATCTACAAAAACAACAAGGAGTCTGGTGGCACCTTAAAGACTAACAGATATATTTGGGCATAAGCTTTCGTGGGTAAAAACCTCACTTCTTCAGATGCGTAGAGTGAAAGAGCTATGCATCTGAAGAAGTGAGGTTTTTACCCACGGCGGATGTACGGTACAGCAGGAAGAGGGCAGGAGTTATTGGCTTGAAGCTCATATAACCCAGATG